TTAGATTGATGCATGATCGATGACAATGCAAATGGTCTTCTTATTTGGCTGTGTTGTGAAGTGAAACTTACTTTTAGCAAAGGGGGACTTATTTCTTTCTGGATGAGGTATTTGTGTGATTTAACGTTATACATTTAGCTGTATTCTGATCTGTCTTAAAGCATTACAGGTCAAAACAATTCGTTGTTACGTATTGTTTATTTATCAAAATTAACAATAAGGCTCTTAAAGCACTGCTTTGATAAATGTAGTCTTGTCATATTTCAAATACTTCAAGTAAAATGAAGTAATTTTTTTTTTTTTTTTACTGACAGTGTACTTGTATTATTTTTTTTGCATTTTAGATTAAGATCAAGTGTAAAATAAAATCTACATGTGATGTACAGCTATTTAAGAAACAGATTTGCCATATTGTAAAGAAAAATAGTGTAAAATATGTAAATAAAAGGCTAAATTTAAATATTTTTACCATATACTTTAATTAAACCTTTCAAAGCTTGAAAATATTGTTTAAAAATGGGCAAAAAGTGTCTCTATGGCCTTAAAGATTATGTGGTAGTTTTGCCAGTGCTATTGAAAAAGATTAATTGTCATGAAAGGAAAAATCGACCATACTTCCTTTGTTAGTGCAAATTCCTATACATGTAGCTTTGAGATTTAAGCAATTAAACCATTTAATCAGGTTTACACTTAAAAAAAAGTGATTTCATAATGACAATCTGATTTTTTTTTTTCAAAAGTAACCAACTAGTACTTTTTAAAAGAGTACTTTGTACTTTTACCTAATATTAGTATTATTTACTACAATTTGTGTTATTTTAGCAGTGTAATAGTATTTTTCCTTGAGTACAAAAAAGATTTCACAAGCATTAAGTGCAGGTTTATTATATTATTAATATATGATAAATTAATATTATTATTATTATTATTATTATTATTATTAATGGTTTTTATGTGTATCTATTCCTATGCAATGTTTTATGGGTTGCTGAGATTACATTTCAGGTCTTCAATACATAGCATGTCAGTCTTGAAAAAAAAATAGGTGCTGGAATTGATTTACATTAGGCTGTCCCTGTATGAACCCTGTCATATGTACATTTAACATTTCAAGATTTGTCTAAAAGTGTATAAATATGACATATAGCCTATATTTATGAGGTCCAAGCAACATTTCCAGCTTTTGATGAATAGGCTATTATGAATACTTTAAATTTAAGTGCAGCAGTTTTCTTTTTACTTTTTAAGAACAGCGCCATTTTTTATGAACCTTTAAAAGCACATTTTAACTAAAACGTTTTTTTTTTTTTTTTACCTGCAAGCACAGTTAATGTTCAGACTATTTAAAATGTTTAAAGTGACTGACAATAATACATATTCTTAATAATAGGAATTAATCTGCATCGTTTTTAAACTGTGCACACCTGTAGCTGCTTAATTAGGCCCACAACGCTATTTTTAATACTGGTTAAAAAATAGCGCCGTAAGGTGGTACTTGGAGAGACAATTTTTTTCTAAGGTGGTACTTGGTGAAAAAAGTTTGAGAACCACTGGTCTAGATGTTACGCTTCTTTGGGGCTTCTCCACACCATAACTCTCCCAGATGTTGGAAAGACAGTGAAGGTAGAATCAGAGAACATTACATGTTCATCCAAGATTTTTGCTGCTGGCACAATTGAAACCGACTTTTGACATTGGTACGACTGACCAAAGGTTTGGCTGTAGCAGCCCAGCCATGTATATTGACCCTGTGGAGCTTCCAAAAAACAGTTTTGGTGGAAACAAGGGAGCTGAGATGCACATTTAATTCTGCAGTGAGTTGGGCAGCATTTTTTATTTATTTTGGATACAATCTGGGTTAGCATTCAGGCAACCCAATCAGACAGCTTCCTCTTGCTTCCACAGTTGCTCCTGTTAGATGTGGTTCGTCCTACTTGGTGGTATGCTGTCATCCTGAATACCATGGCCTTTGATACATCACAAATACTTGCTGTCTTGGTCACAGATGTGTCGGCAAGACATGCACAAACAACTTGTCATCTTTTTAACTCTGTGCATTATCATATTTCAAGCAAATCTGTGCTATTACTGTACATATTAAACCTTTACACTCTGCTTTTACTGGTGGAATGTGAAATCAATGAAGATTGGCCACCAGGCTAGTCAAATTAAGCCACGAAAGCTCCAACACTAAATTAAATATGACTAAATATAAATAATAAATGAATTAAATATAAAGCATTATAGTTTTCAAAACAGTTTTTTTTACTTTCTTAGAAATGTCTAACAGCAATGTGTGGTAACACCAATGCTTACTTACTAAGAAAAAAAAACACTGATGATCGTCATCTTACCAAAACGCAGAGTCAGACGTGTTAGCAAGGCTGATAGATGACTGCTAACAGCTTCTCAGATAAAATCAGTTCAACTTCACTCAAACACCGTGGGATATGTTGACACCTGACAACATGTCTGTCTAACATCTGCCACATACCCAGCGAATGAACACGGATCAAAACACCACAGATCTCTATCTCCAGAAAGCGTTGTGTATGTATGGGTGCACGAGGCGGGGGTAACTCCTCAGACCCCGGGCTATCGCAACAACATCAGAGAAACCACTGGAGATCCACTTCTAACGCTTCTCTCTTACAGGAGTGTGGAAATCATCAAAAAGCCCCCTCAGACCTCTCCACCTCAGCCCGTGCAGAGTAACCCCCTCCTGAGTTCAGAGTGGTTTCTGCCTGCAACCGCCTTCATCAGAAGCGCTCCTCTTATCGCTCCTGACCATTTGAAAGCTGCCGCAGGTACGAGCGTCCAGCAGGGTGGAGCGGGAGCACGGCGAGTTAGCGGAGATGTAATGTGTCGGTTGATGAAGGGGTCAGCTGACACAACGGTGACTGAAAAGAGTCTTGTTTGAAGCTGCTGCTTTAGGGTAATGATGAGATTTTGACTTGGGCGTGAAATACATCCAAAGCAGATATGAAAATATGCAACTTTTTGTAGGATTTATTCCACATTTCTATGAGAAAATGATCTCTGGAGTCACTACCGAGACATGACGATAAATGGTATAGGTTTTACATATGTAACCATGGACCATACAATTATATTATGGTAGTAGAGAAAAATATATAGGCTCTTTCTCAATATGCATTCTTCAGTGATCTTGCATCCTTGTGTTCTCGTACAACGCCATCATCAACCGGCAAAGTTAAGTTCCAAAACTCAAGACCACAAGAACAGAGAATGCGTGACAAAATCCTGATGCCTTCTTGATATTGAGGATGTATCGAATGCAGACTTGAGCACAAACTCGCTTGAGAAGTCCCAGAAGTCATTGCGGCTGAATAAAGTAGGTGGAAAGCACAGCATTTTATATAGATTTATCATTTTAGTTCAGAGGTAAACCTTATTTAATCGCAGGAGTTTCCTTAAATGAGATAGGTAGTAGTAAATACATGAACTTTAACCCATTAAGGGTATTTATTTGCTGAAATTTGTATTAAAATCTGTTTTATTTGTATTGTGCAAAGTATATTTGTAAGGATTTTGTGCATGTTATTTATATATTGAAATGGAAAAAAACAATAAATAAATGAATGCTGTAATGTTTCAATAATTTTCTGTTAAAAATTCTGTTAAGGTCACGTGACCGTTAGGAAGAACGCATCATCTTGTTTCTGAGAGGATCTCGCAGTCTCCCATGTTCGTTCTTCTGAGGTAACTTGGCAAAAATGATCTCCACAAGAACATGAGTCTCCATGTTCTTGGAATTGAGAAACAGCCGTATTATGGGTAAAAAAACAATAGAAGTGTAAAGATGGGTAAAAACAATAGAATATTAAGAAAACAAGTTCCATTAAGATATTTTGTAAATTTCCTACTGTAAATATATCAAAACTTAAATTATGATAAGCAATGTGCATTGCTAGAACTTTAGACAATTTTAAACATGATTTTTTTCACTCAAGTGCTACATTGTTAATAAAATATGTACATTTGATATGAGGCAATCATAATCAATGCTAATTACTGTATCTAGTGTTTGGATCACATATCGTTTTTTTAGTCACAGATCAGGCCATTTTTCGCATCAGCCAAAAAGGGGGAGAAGACAAATGTCATTTGCTTTTCATTAATTAAAAAACAGTACAGCAAGAAATTTTTGGTTTTAACAAACAGAATTTAGAAACTGTAACTTTATTAAAAAATAAAATGAAATAACCAGCTCAACAAAAAGAAATAGTAAAATATTCAGTACTGTGAAAAATTCACTGTTACTACTACAGTTGCTAATGACGCTAAATGTAGAAAAGTCGAACATTATAATTTGTACAGCCCATATTTATTTTTTTAGTCTTATTTTTATTATAATTGATTCAGTTATTCACTCATAACAGTTCATATTTTATTGTTAGATGGATCATTTTTGAAGAATTATTCAGTGGCATATTTTTGATGGCTGGTTAAATAGTGTAATTGCTGCCTACAACTTTCATTTTTGAGCGTCGTTAAATACATATGATGGTGATTTTAATCTTTACCATAAACATTAGTAGTTTTATCTAAACTATATCTCCCAGTACTGTGTTATTTGACTGTTTGTAAAAACGGAATCTTTTTCTTGATTTTTGCATTTTACAAACACAGATTTAAATTGCAGTGACTCGAAGGATTAATAAACATATGCAAATCACCATCATTTATAATTTCTTATGTGGGTGTTGAGATCCTGAACACCTTTAATGAAACCCATCATATCCCGAATAACCTGCCACAACTTCTTCCGTCATCATTATATTTTACGGGAAAGAGTAAATGCTTTCATACATGTGATTTGAATGAGGTGATCTCTCTGTGATCGTTAGATTCATTACAAATTTAGGATTAATCTACTAGTAAAAAAAAGTATTGTTAACAAGGCCATGTGTGTTCCAAGCTGTGGGTTGTGATTCGTACAAATCAAAGATCAACCGTAATCCGTTACAACCCTAAATGTAAAGTATTTATTTATTTATATATACATTTTTTTTTGCAAATTATGCGTTTTTCTACAGCATATCCAACAGGATACATATATAATACTAGAAGAATGCCTGGCTATTATTAAAAACTGAACATTCTTTCTGGGGGCGGGTGACAATGTGCAACATTTTCAAAGCTGAACATAATTTATGCAAATATACCATGACATCACCACCACCAATAGAAGTGAAGAACCGTGGACGTCACATTGAAAGGAGTCTACACAACTATATTTAGCTATACTTTGTATGTGCATGTTTAAAACTGATAACTGTTCGCTTTGAGATGACAATTATTAAGTGAGAGGAACTTGAGACCCTGCAGCTCGGTGACGTTATTACCTTGTTGTTCATAAAAGCCTTCAGGCACTGAATGACTTTGTGTTGACTCTTCTTATCCACCTTCTCTTGGCTGAAAAAAATAAAAATAAAACAAAAGAAAGAACGAGTCAGTGAAAGTGAGGGGCGCTCAGTGGGTTACCAGAAGACAAAAACAGAGTCAAAGAGTTTAGTTAACAAACTGTTCAGAGCTATGAAGTAGCATGCTGAGAGAAGAACACACAACTAGTTTAAAACCTAGTAGGAAGCCTTTGCTTTAAGAAATGTGGGTAATGGAAACGTGTTTACTGTTTTTTGAGGAGGAGCTTCTCCAGCGTATCCAACAGGAGACCCAGACCCTCATGGCCAAAACTCTGCACCCAGCTAGAAAGAGAAAACATCATATTAGAGTGGTTCTGGTGTTGTGCAAAGACAAGCAGGACAGATATTAGATGTTGAAACACCACTGGCTCTCGAACTTACAAACGAAATAATTAATATTGCTTAATAAACAACATTGTATTGCATGGCAGAACCGAACCACAGGAGTCAATAAGCTTCATCAGAGCAGAGTCCGTTGAACGACAGTGGATTTCACCTTATTCCACAAATTAAGCTCTCCCCCTGGAGCTCAAAGTGAAAGGCATTGCTAATGGAGCAAAGATGTTTATTTTAATTCCATTCAGACATAATCTTGCGCTCTACATCTCCATTGATTCGGCCTCTATTGTCTGTGGGAATTGCCACGGCGGAAATTTAACTCCCCAATAACGAGAGGGGAAGCGTGTCGAGTGAAGCATTGATTAATAATGAGGGAATTCAATGAGCATAAACAAACCGATTAACCCATTGTGTGTAGGAAGCAGGTTATAGAGTTCATTCAATTACATTTGCAGCATGTGACAGATGTTTCTGTAAACACAAGCTTGTTTGGATGTAACCGTATTGGAATGGCTGAAAGCAGAGATTAAAAAATACTTTGCATGTTTGGAGTGAAGACCTTCAAAATGGTAGATTTGATCAATTTGTCAGCAAGTTTTGAATCATTTAAATTGTTTGTTGTTGTTGTTTTTTTTATCCGTATAATGACTTTCTTTTATATATCAAAGTCAGAGTTATAATAATAGGGCTACACGATATTGGAAAAATCTGACATTGCGATATTTTGTATTTCTGGTATATATATTGCTATATGAATACAGCTTTATTTGGAAAGAATTCTTCATTTCAGATCAATTTGGGTGATTTTGTAGAGGATTGGATCTCGAATAATATATAACAAGCATAATAACTTACAAGCATAGATAAATAAAATATAACAAAGATAAAAGTGAATCATAGTTTTTAAGTCAATCCATCAACACTATATAGTCTTTATTGTATATAATGTAACATTAATTAAAGTTACAAACACTAAAACCAAACCAAAGATTAAAATCAACTCACTGTTAACAACGTTCACTTGTTTCAATCTTTTATGAGTTATTAAAATATCTTCTTTTTGTATTGAACATAAAAAAAGAAACTCATAAACGTTTGAAAATAGTGAGTAAAGAGAATTTTTGTGTGAACTACCATTTTTACTCCATTGTTATTCAGCTCTGCATTGATTATAATTAACTATAATCCCAACTCAACATTTAAACCCCCGCTATTTATTTCTGCGACATATATTGCAATGTGAATATAGCTTTATTTGAAAAGAATTCTTAATTTTAGATCGATCGCCGTGATTTTGTAGGTGATTGGATCTCGAATAATATATAAAAGCATAATAACTAAAATATAACAAAGATAAAAGTGAATCAGTTTTCTGGAGAGTCAAACAATCAACACTATATACTATAGTCTTTATTGTATATAATGTAGTCTTTATTAAACTTCCAAGCACTAAAATTGCTTGTGGCCGAATGTTTTAATCTCTGAAATGTTGAAATGTTCACAAAGTCACAGGCCTTAAAGGGATAGTTCACTAAAACACTTTTAATTTACTCACTATTTACTCAACCTTTACTTTTTTTATTAATTTAAGAGTTATTAAAATATCTACCTTTTAGTGTTCAACATTTAAAAAGAAACTCAAATGTTTGAAAATAGTGAGTGAAGGTAATTTTTGGGTGAACTATACCATTTTTACTCTATTATTTTTCAAATCTGCATTGATTATAGTCAGCTTCAATCCCAACTCAACATTGAAAACCCCGCAATGTATTTCTGCGATATATATATATTGCAATATGAATGCAGCTTTATTTGGAAAGAATTCTTCATTTTAGATCGATCGCCGTGATTTTGTAGGGGATTGGATCTCAAATAATATATAACAAGCATAATAAAATACAAGCTTAAATAAATAAAATATAGCAAAGATAAAAGTGAATCAGTTTTCTGGAGAGTCGAATAATCAACGCTATATAGTCTTTATTGTATATAATGTTATCTTTACTGAAGTTAAAAACACTAAAATTGCTTGTGGCCGAATGTTATGAACTCTGAAATGTTGAAATGTTTACAGTCACAGGCTTTAAAGGGATAGTTCACTCAAAATTTTTAATTTACTAACTATTTATTCAACCTTAACTTGATTAACTTGTGAGTTATTAAATTATCTTCTTTTTGTGTTTAACATAAAAAAAAGAAACTCATAAACGTTTGAAAATAGTAAGTAAAGGGAATTTTTGTGTGGAGTACCATTTTTACTCCGTTACTATTCAACTCTGCATTGATTACAGTCAACTACAATCACAACTCAACATTGAAATCCTGCGATGTGACTATTGCGGATGCACACATTGCGATATCAATGCTGAAACGATATATTGTGCACCCCTGAGTAAGAGTGTTTTCTCTGTAATTTTGTGCAACTTTTACATGAATGTATGACAACAGAACATTATTGCACCCAGATTTCATTTGATCAAGCCTTGAGGTTTTGCTTTCACTTTTGAGAGGAATGCATATAGGATTCCAATGGATAGTTGTCACCCTTACAGAAGTCCTTTAAAAAGAAAAAAGTACTAGAGAATCGCAGAAAACGGGAACAAAAGAAGGTTAAAGTTTGCTAAAATTACTGCATCTTTCAGACTTTATGGTATAATTTTGTTGCAGTGCAGTTTATGAGCAAATATGGTTATAAATCTACCAAACTGAAACTAAAAACCCTCCAGTTACCGATCGATTGGTGCATCCCTACATTTCCACAATCACCTAAAAACAAACATACACAAAAACCCTGCAATTTCAAGTTGAAAAACTTGTATACTCAAGTCTTTAGTAGCCAAACAGAAATGCTGGCAAATTGGTGGTTTAAGCGCACTAAAAATCAGCCATGTAGGAACAAGAGAAAACCTCATCTGCCTTAGTCTGTAATCAAACGCTTTACCATATGGTCACAAATACTCAATCAACTGTTGATCATGTCAGTCAGGGGGGACTCAGTGGAGTAACAGAACTCTGGGAAATTGCCTCAGTGTAAGTGTAGAGGAGCAGTGAGCATCAATAGCCAATTTTCGAAGAGCCAGTGTCAAGAGGTGTAGGTGTGCTTCCAAGGGTAAATTACAGGCGAAATTGACCACAACCCGGAAACTGGAAACTAAGGAGGACTGGAAAACAGAACAGAGGATAGCGAGAAAGAGAGAGATAATGCTGTTTAAAGTAAAACGGAGAGCAATACAGAGCTGGTCCAATGAGACAGAGGAAGTGCTCTCATAACTCAGCTGTGGCAGGACTGATATCGCCACACTCCTCCAGACACTAAGTCTGTCCCAAAATGAGTCCCATAGTGCCAGTTTCATCGTAGAATAGCAAAAGTCAAAGGATAAAATACTATGATACCCTTGTTGTGGACAAAATTATATACTTATTTATTTTATTAGAGCTTCAAAACATATCAAAATAAAATCAATATTGATGTTTGTTGGGACACAACAAAAATAAACCAAGTATAAAAGTGTCTGATACCACTTGGTTATTTACAGAAAACTCTGCGTATGTTGTATTACTTTAATTTAAAGTGTGTGCTGCAAACTTCAGAATACTAAGCTGTTTGTTCAAATAAATTACAAATCGAATTGAAATTGCAATATCCAAGAGCAAAAATAAAAAGCAAAAACACAACAGTGCTTCCCATACATAGACTTTACTTGGGCATGCGCCCGGGTATATAAACAGCTGTCCAAGTATATTTAGTGACACGTTGTTGTTTTTTCACTATTACATCATCCTCTAAACTATATTCTATCTGCCTAATGGAACCAGACATCCGCAATCGATTAAGTAGTGGAAAAAACTTTTTCTTCTAACTGTCAACACTCACACAGACAGTCTCACATGCTCTGTAGACTCACTGAGACCCGCCTTTTGGACTTTTTCGGGTTTCTAAATTTCCTTCAATGTCCAGGATTCAACTTTTGCTTTCTAATGTTCGTTAGTTGTTAGTATGCATTTTGGCATTACCTTTCTTAAACCTACTATCACTTGGCTTTGCAGCTGACATCACACACAAAGTCGCGAAACAAATATTCAATTATTCATTCTTGAATCTAAACAACTTAGTAATGGTTAATCAATGCATTTGCCTTATTTAAATGAGCTACACATTTTAATCTAGTAATTTTTATAATTTTTAGAGATATTGTCAGCAATTCCATTTCTGTCATTTATTTCTCTTTTGCTTTTATTAATTTGATGTCATTAGGCTATATTTAATATATATATAAAATATAAATAATATAAATAAATATAAATAATAGGCTATTAGGCTATTTTATATCTAAAATACTTTAGACAATCAAGTTTGCTTTGAATTTGAAAGTAATAAATAAAACTACTGTAAAAATTTAATTATGTTTTGTTTGTCGCATATAGTTAACTATTTGTGTAATGTGGATAAATGGTTTTTGAATCCGGCTACCACCAGAAGTATATTTTAAACCTATGGGAAGCACTGCACTAGCTTCCAATCCCCCCGCCCACCAATCAATTAATAAAGTAATTACAATATTTTTCATCAGTAGTTTATTCAATAAAATATCACAACAGAAATACAATATTAATATGTTCATTTTAATAGCAACTGTGTTGTTTTGAAACTTTCACCACATAATGAATTTAGCCAGTTGATTCACAGACTCTGTGGCAGACTTAAGTTTACTACAGGCTGCCACATAAACATCTAACGACTCAGTGCGCTTTAATTTTCTTTTTTATTTATAATAGTAAGTTTTTAATTAAGTTTTAGGGAAACAGGACAAATTGTTTTGAAAAGAACAACACAATTATTTAAATTCCAAGGAGAGTTTGACAGCAAGCCGTGGCTAGGCGCAGCACGAAATGAGGCAAGCCGCGGTAAAAAAAAAAAAAAGAAATATATATATATATATATA